TGGTGGCCACCACATGCGGGCTGGTCCCACCTCGGCTCCTCTGAGCCATGTGTTGGGGTCTCTGCTATTGAAGATGGACAATCCAATGAGAAATGGTGCAGTGAAAGCCTCGGGTGCATTGCTGGTGACAGCAGGTACCTGCTGAGAGCCGCCACATGCCTGCAGCATTTCCCTCTCCTCTGTCGCAGTTCCCGGAGCTCCCACCGCTGACGACATCGACCCTCGGAGTCCTGGTCCCAGCGGTGAGTCCTGGCTCCTGGTCAGTGGAGACGCGCCGGGGCAGGGGATATCTCCCTGTCCCTTCCTCCTCAGACGTCCCACGGACCTGTCCCCACCACCCCAGGTGTCCCATGGACCTGAACAAGCTCTGACTTAGGTCCAAAACTGGAAACTGTGGCAAGCCAAGCCAGAACCCAGTTTGTCACCCCGTCCCCTGCAGCCCTCGGGTCATGGATGAGCCTTGCAGCCGCTGGGGCAGCCTGTGCTCCTCTGGCCGGAATGAGATGCTCCAGTGGGGCCGGGACGAGATGCTCCTGGGGCTCAGGGCATGTGTGGGGCCAAGCCCATGGCCAGCCTGGCTGCAGGGAGCTCAGACACAGACTGGTTGGACTGGAGCAATCTGGGAGCAGATCTGCCCTGAGAGCAGCGCGGTGCAAAAGCTGTCGGCGCAGGCGTCTGGCTCTGCGGCTCCTGGTTACAGCACCACTCATGCTCCCACCAGCAGGAACTTTCTGTTTTGGTCTGTTGGAAGGAGTTTAAAGCATACCCCGAGCCACAGGAACTGCTGCTGAAAATTGCCGTCCCCGAAGTGCCTGTGGTGACCTTAGAGAGAAACAAAGGCGTGATCCAGCTCACGGCTACAGCAGAGCTGATGGTGATCTTCCCAGGCGACATCCAGGAGTTTCTCTGCCTCCTGAATATCGTACGTATGAAAGAACAACCCTCCTGCAGTGCCCCCTCCCTGCTCAGTGGGCACGGGGGTGCCAGTGGTGGGACCCCACCCGCTGTGACACGGCTGGGCTGGGGGACCCCCTGCCCTCCCCTCTCTGTCTGCCCGCAGGACGCCTCCTTGCTGGCCCAGTTCTCCGTCAGGGACAACAAACTGAAGATCGGCGTCAGCCTGGAGGAGTAGGACCCTGGGGGTAGCCAGGGGTGGCCATGGGCGTAGGACCTCCGGGGCGGCACAATGATGGGGGCACGGACAGGAGGGGGTCACCGCAGGAGCTGCTGGGGTTTCGCTCACCTCTGCTTCCTCCTGCAGGGCTGATCTCTCCTTGGTGTCTTCGTCCATCGGTGGCTTTGATGTAAGAACCCAAGCAGCCTTGCTAACATGCGAATCCCATTGCAGAAAGCGAAGTGCTGATAGATATCAGCTCAGGAGAAATCGGGGCCGGTCACGGTGTGACGGTTGTGTCGTATTTTTAATAGCGCCGTTCTTTGGATTTTTTTCATGGATGATCCATGAGTGATTTTCAGAAAAAAATCCCCACTGAGAGGGAGAGTTTTCGGGTCCTCCATGAACCACAGGACATCCTGCACGTGCCCTCGACGTCCCCTGGGGATGTGCCTGGGGAGGGTCATCCCTGTGCCTCACAGGGGACGACAGCAAAAGCTGGGAGGAATCCTGGGCTCTCGTTGTAGGACACCTGCAGGCAGAGCAGGGTTGGTTTCCAGAGGCGGTTACTGCAGGGAGCTGTGATGCCAGTGGAAGGGACCTGTGCAGCGGCATTATTTTGGGACCAAAAATTGACAAGGAATGCTTAAAGTCCGATTTCTGCAAAGCTGGGAGTTTGCATTGGGCAGGCGTGGAGCTGGGGTTTGGGGGTGTGAGCAGAGCATCCCCACGTGCCCCAGGACAGGGTGACCCCGGGCTGGCCCCGGGACTGGGACCCGCAGTGGCACTGCCGACCCCTCTCCCCGCTGCAGGTCTTGCCCCTGGAGACGCTCGTTGGCCGGATTTTCGACGTTGCCTTCCTGCCTGCGATGAACAGTAAGGGAGCCCTTACGCGTCGCCCACACCTTCGTTTGTGTCCTATCGCTCCCTAGACACTGAACTGGTGCAGGCGTGGGTCACCTCGCCATGCAGAACAGGGTCCAGTGGGACCGACCCGCACCAACGGGGGGCTCATTGCCAGTGGCCGCGCTTTGCCCCCTCCATGGGGCTGCCCACCGCCAGCTGCTTTGCTGGTGGGAGCCAATGATGATGTGTTTGACCCACACACTGCCTCCCACAACACAAACTGTTCCAGAGAGCCCGGCATGCACGGAGGGAGGGGGCTGCACACGGGGGGATAGAGTTGGGGATCA